ATTTTATCACAATGTACAATCTCCAGATGGACTTAATCTTTCTTCTAGTGTGTTGAGAAGAGGTTCCAGTATTTCACTTATTAGGGGCACTCTTTTAGCTAAAATGAATCACACCTGTCTTAATCAGTTTAAATCTATCTACTAGTGTGTTGAAAAGTTCCCGTTTAATAGGGCCTCTCCTTTAGCTTAAATGAATCACACCTTCCTTAGTTTCTGGTCATTTTCTTTCCGCTTCATCCATTCCTGTGAAAAAAACTCAGCCCGAGTAGACAGTCTGAACTGACAGTACAATTGGAAAGTTAGATAAAGCATTTAAGAAATGCGTTCTGGGATACTACCAACTATCTAAAAAAAGTCTGGTAGTCAAGCTGAAAGGAAAGCCTTTCAGCATAGCTATCTTAATAGTATACGCACCGGCAGCGCAAAACAAGGAAGAAGAAATCAAATCTTTTAACTCCATGCTAGACACTGCCAAGGCTCTTTGCAAATCACAAGAAGTCATAAGTATCATGGTAGACCTAAGCACCAAAGTAGTTGCCCATCAACCTTGATATATTTTGTAAAGATATTAGAATTCTTGGAAGTGCAATTGGTTTAATGGATAATGTCGCAGAATTTTTCATCAGGGAGCCGATTTCCACTTCCCTTTGGTTTCCCCAAGCACAGATATCCTTGAGAAATGTATGAATCCACTTCTTCGTCCCCAGCTAGGGATTAAATAGTAAGATTTCAATCACTAAATTATTATCATCTTCAAAAAAAACAACAAAAAATCATACTAGTTTTTGTGGATTCCGGGAATGGAATCCTGCACAAATAAATAAACAACGCCAATAATTAAGATAGAAAAATAAGTGTATTAAACGTAAGAATACAGATTTGAAGTGAAGATTAGTAGTCCAGGTATGCGGGTTAGTAGAAAGTATATGCACGAGTCTCTGTAAGTAAAGCCATAATCATCTCTTTCTCTGGACTCTTGTATAACTCTCTGAGAACACCCTGTGTCTACCTCTGTATCTCTCAACCTGTCTCAACGTATCTCAACGTATCTCCACGTATCTCAACGTATCTCGGTATTTAATATCCCACCCACGAGGAATATATGTGGCACAAGCCCGAGTTTAAAGTGGGTTTCTCCGAGCTCGTAGGCTTGGCCAAAATATACCCTTTGAACCCGCCTAGATGGGTTCAGGGCCTGTCTACCTCCCCAGACGAAAACTTGCGCTTCGGCAAAGCTTCGTTCGGTTTACTCTCTGCCAAAGTAGAGAGTTCGACAGACGTCGAGACTGTATCTCGACGCAACTCGGTATTTAATATCCCACCTATGAAGAATATATGTAGCACAAGGCCGAGTTTAAAGTGGTTTTCTCCGAGGCCGTAGGTTCGGACAAAAATATACCCTTTGAACCCGCCTAGACGGGTTCAGGGCCTGTCTACCTTCCCAAACGAAACCTTGCCCTTAGGCAAAGCTTCGTCCGGGTTCTCCTCTACCAAAGCAGAGAGTTCGAGAGACGTCGAGACTGTATCTCGACGTTTCTCAGCAGCAGGTAGTCTCTCTGTCGGTATAAGTATACTTTGGACGAGTCTATCTTATGTAAAAATGGGAGAGCCCCACAACACTAATAATATTTTATGGTTTTACATAACATGCAAAGAATTGAAAGCCATAGAAAACGAATCAATCTATAATTTTCTTTTGTTTATTTTTATATTTTAAACAGATATTAGCACGATTTTAGTAATTTATTTTTCCCTTAATTTAAATGTTTGCTACCTTAAAAGGAACACGTGTCTCACTTCACAGTCTAAATGTGTTATTAATATTTTCCTTTGATTAGTAGCTCATAATTAAATTATTAATAACTTAATGACAGACTGGCACGATAAGTTAATAATCATAGACGATTACTTTAAGTTAACGGGTTTCACCATCTTGCAGTCTTGTACCAGACTCTGAACATATTTTATGTAATTATATGGGTTAATTCAAAACTGAAACTGCTTACTAACACTGCTGAGCCTGTAAATTTTTTTTTCTAGGCATTTCACCCCAAGCAAAACGGGAAGCCACTAACACGCAAGGGATTACAGAGACTTGGAGCTAGAGCAAAAAGGAGTGATAGAGGAAAGGATGAAGAGAAGGATAGGGGATAGATCAGGGCATCTGGAGACGTTGATTGACATTACATTTGAATAGTTGGAGATTATAGCTATCAGGAAAACAGGAATAGGGAAGGGAGTTCCACAGGCAAGAGGTGCGAAACATGAAGCTATTGGAGTAGAAGAGACGGCTGCATTTAGGAGTTTCGACAGTGAAAGGGTCTGAGCGGGATGCCAGCCTTTCATGAAGTTTGGGAACCAGCGAAAGCAGCTCCTTTTTCGTTACGACTGACATTTAAATGGAGAATAAGAAAATAACGTCATATATATATATATTCCGTACCAGTTTATTTGAATATAGAATGTTAAATTTTCATAGAGTCAGCAAGGAATGGTTGAATTATTCTACAAGAGGCATATTTTATATCTGAGGAATTTTTGCTTTAGCAACGACATTCTTCTCATTATTGCTCTTGCAGTCTCACCTGCCGAATTTCTTGTAAAGCATTCCCGCGTCAGAGCGAGAAAAACAATGATGAATTACCGTATTTCCCGGCTTAAAAGACACTACGGCTTGGAAGACGCATCCTAATATTGGAAAGAAATTTCTAATAAAACAAAAGAAATTCTCCTACAACAACACATACACCACGCGTCTCTTACATACTGGTGACACGTATTGTTCACATTAATCACTCCTCCGATTTTGTTTGTATGGCAGTTACATACTAGTCGAGAGCAGAACGTCTCTCGCCGCTGCTAGTAAACAGAGCATGTTTAAGCTTGTGGCTCGGCTCCAGAAAGGTTTATAGTCTTGGAAATACCTGTAATAGCTAAGTACTGAGGTTACATCATATAAAAGGCTGAATTAGATAGCTAACATTATAATGTAATGACTCAACATACAAATTCATGAACCTATCAGTCAATGAAATTAGGTGACCGCCCAAGCTTACTTGAGCCTGAGCGTTGCCTTACGTTACGTTTGAAAGACGCACATGTATTTTTCAGGTTGATTTTAGGAAAAAAATGCGTCTTGCAAGCCGGAAAATACGGCAAAACAAAACAAACTATTTTTCAGTAAATAAAACGATAAAGAAAGATCTAGATCTAGATCTAGATAGGTCCGATTCACACTCTATTTCCGGTCTTTGGAACAGAAGTAAAATATTATCTCTTCATTCCTGCTTAGGATTGGGTTTCCGGTTCCTTCTGAAGTCCTCTCATTCTCTTTCACTCCTAGTAGTCCGTTGAGTCTTACTGGCATTATCGTCTAGCTTGGATCGAATTGATTAAAACATACATTTATATTTTCAATTGGAGTAGATCGGTTCGCCCATCGCCCGGTTGACAGTCCTCCCTTGTCTTTTGAACAGGAGATGAGGTTTATCCTTTGTTTCCTGTTTACGATGGAATTTTCGGTTAATTCTAAAGCCCATTTCTAACGCCTCAGCTTAAAATCCGAAATTTTGTTTAATTTTTATTTATTCCCCAACCGCCTCAGTAGGAATAGATTCGACTAACGTCAAGATCACACTTCTTCCCGTTTTTTTTTTTTTTTTTTTAGCAGGAGGAGTTATTTTTTTTTGTTTCCGGTTTAGGATAGGGCTTCCGGTTCCTTCTAATGTCTATTAAACAGGAGTAGAAGTTTATCTCTTGTTTCCTCTTTCGGATTTAGTATCCGATTCCTTCTAATGTCTACTTCAACTCTATACTTCTAACGTTTCACCTAAACTTTGAAATTCTATTTAATATTTAGTTACTTACACCGCCTCATTAGGAATAGTTTGGTTCGCCTCTTGTCAGGTTCACACTCTTCCTCCGTCTTTTGAACAGGAGTAGAAATTTCTCTGTTTACAGTTTGGGATTTGCTTTCTGGCTCCTTCTAAGGTCTTCTTCAAATACATACCTTCATACCTCTCTGTCAAATTTCTGAAATTTTATTTATTATTTTTGTGCTTTTTTCCTTTCACTATCTTCCTGTTCACACTCCTTCCCCCGTATTTTGAACAGGAGTAGAGGTTTATTCTTTATTTCATGTTTTGGATTGGATTTACAATTCCTTCTAAAGAGCTCTCTTCACTTTTCTTTCTCTTCCAGTAGCCCACTGTGTCCTAGTGGCTTTATCGCCTTACGTGGGGTGAATTGATTAAAACATAAATGTAGAATAAGTAAAACCGAATCATCAACTTGAAAACTCGAGTCATCTTAAATAACCCCGTCAAATTGAAACTTTCATATGGGTAATATGCAGAGCGACAAATCGGTTTAGAAATATCTAAACTGTCAGTTGTAATGCAAACCTTTCCTAAGATCACTGGGTAAAATGACTTTGTGCCCGGGAAGCCTGAGTCAAAGAACAATTTTCTTTGGGTATTGTGGACTGGCGCTACAGAATCAAAAAATAATTCTACCAAATGACTGAAGCGTCAACATCACAACAGCAGCAGCAATTAAAATGTATATTAACATGTAACCCGAAGAGATAACAATGACATAATCAAGATGTTGATATTCAACACAACTTCAAATAAAAGGTGAGGAAGGAAACTCCCATTAATACTGTAAACAGCGCTAACACCTACAGGAATTGCTGAACCTCATTTTCTGAATAATTCTTTTAAGAGAAAGATTTGATAAACTTAAACTGAAAACAACACTAGCTATTCGGTCAACGAATTTCAAATGTTTCCTTATAGGATGAAGGCTAATATTATCATTAAGAAATAGTAAAAAAAAATCGGAAATTAGTCATTTAAGCGCCACATGTGAAACACGTTTGGGAGATTATGTATCTTTTGATAGATAGCTGACGAAGCAGAAGATTTTTCCCGCAGTAGGTTGCCATTTCTTTCTGCGGTAGACTGGATACCAACCAAGGCTATCCTACTACTCAACCC